TACAGGAGGTACAGAATTTTTAAATCAAGTAAGTAAACATAAGAAAATAAAAATAATAAAGAGTAAAGTATAATGCATATATACAGATAATCCAAAATACATACTATATGTGGTATAGATAAAACAAAACTTTAAAACCTAAAGTTTCCTAATCAATAAGTTAAACATTATTCAAATCACAAAATTAACATTTTAAATATACACATTATGAGTTCCAGCCAAGATGGAGGTATAGGTAGAAACCCTTAGCTTTCTTATACACCAAAAGGAGGATAACAAACAACCTAAAATCCATGAACAACCAGAAGTGCCAGAAAATCAAACTGCATGGAACTCTGACAACCAAGGAATTAAAGAAACAGTCAACCAGAACAAACAGACTGGTGCCCTGAGACAAAAAATGGGGCCCAAATGAAAGAACAGAGCAAAACTTTAGAAAGCGAGCTAAGTGATAAGGAGATAGCCAACCTATCTGATGGATGATTTAAAGCCCTGGTAATCAAATTGCTCACAGAACTGATTGACCTTGGTCAAAAAATGAAATAACACATGAAAGTTACCCAAAATGAAATAAAGCAAAATATTTAGGGAACCAACAGCGATAGGCAGGAAACCAGTACTCAAATCAATGATTGGGAACAAAAGTTAGAAATAAACATCCAACTGAAAAAAAATGAAGAAACAAGAATTCAAAGAAATTAAGAGAGTCTTACAAACCTCTGGGACAACTTGAAATGTTCCAATATTCAAATTATAGGTATGCCAGAAGAGAAGAACAACAGAAAGAAATTGAAAACTTATTTGAACAAATAATTAAGGAAAACTTCTCCAATCTGGCAAAGGAAATAGACTTCCAAGAAGTCCAGGAAGCCAGGAGAATTCCAAAGAAATTGGACCCAAAGAGGAATACACCAAAGCACATCATCATTAAATTACCCAACATTAAAGATAAAGAGAGAATCTTAAAAGAAGCAAGAGGAAAGGAGAGGGTTATCTACAAAGGAGTGCCTATGAGACTATCAGCTGATTTCTCAAAGGAAACCTTTCAGGCAAGAAGAGGCTGGACATAAGTATTTGAAGTCATGGAAGGCAAGGACCTACATCCAAGATTAGTTTATCCAGCAAAGCTATCATTTAGTATGGAAGGGCAGATACAGTCCTTTCCAGATAAGGTCAAGTTGAAGGAGTTCATCATCACCAAGCCATTATTATATGAAATGATAAAGGGACTTATCTAAGAAAAAGATAAAAAATATGAACAGTAAAATGACAACAAACTCACAACTATCAAATGAACCTAAAAAAGAAAAAGAAAACAACAAAAAACAAAAACTAAGCTAACAACTAGAACAGGAACAGAATCAGAGAAATGGACATCAAATGGAGGGTTTTCAGTGGGGAGGGGGAGGGAGGAATGGGGTAAAAGGTACAGGGAAGAAGAAGCATGATTGGTAGGCATAAAATAGTTGGAGAAAGGTCAAAATGGTATAGGAAACAGAAGTCAAAGAACTTATATGTGCAACTCATGGACATGAACTAAGGCAGGGGGTGGAATGCTGGAGGGTTGGGGGGTGCAGGGTGGAGAGGGGATAGAGGAGGAAATTAGGAAACTGTAATAATATAATCAATAAAATATACTTTAAAAACATTACACATTATATTATAGGATTTCCTGAAATCCAGCTCCTCTTATGCTTTTTTCTTTTTATTTCTTTTAATTTTGTTTAATTTTTAGTTGATTATGAATCACTTGACATGGAATGTCAAGGATATAGGCCAAACTTTAAAGTTTAAGCATCAAGTCTTGTCAATTAAAGATTGATATAATTGTGTACAGCTTCTTTGAAACATGATGTGATATAGGAAGATAGAATTGATATCATAAGAATTAAATATAAGAGCACTTTATAGGGAATTAATAGCTGAACCCTGAAAAAAGCCCACCTATTCACATTAATATAGGTACATAGAAAAGAGGATATGTTAAAACAAGAAAAATGATTATGCAAGCTATTGATCTAAATTATTTAGTTGAGCCTTTTTTGGCAAAATCTTAGCCACAGACTCATAGAAAAGATCACAAACACCAAAAGAGGGTGTAATAACCCAGGGTTGTATGAAGATCATTACCAGGGTGGGAATTAGAGCTCATGACTCTGCAGAGTACAAGATGCATTATAAACCACGTTGAAATTTTTAGAAAGTCTATTTTTCTGGGAAGTCCCAGGTCATTCTTAAGGTCACCCCTTTGAAGACTAAGGGAAGGGGAATTCATAAAGAGAGTGTGAGAGTGTTTATTTTTTCAAATAATATGTAAAGCATTTACTCACTACTTCATCATTTCTTTCAACCTATAAATATTTATTGATCCCTTCACTCTCATATAATTCACAAGTCAGGAGAAAGAGAGACAGTAAATAAATAAACCCAGTAAATAATATATAACAAAAATAAGTATAATTTTATATGAGATAGAATGTAAAGGCAGATTATCAGGCATAAGAGAAGGCTTCATCAAGTAAATGATATTTTCCTAAAATCTAAAGATAATCTATAGCAGGAGATAAATGAAACTCAGCCAATGACAAAGTACTTTATATAATTTTCCTCCGTATTGGTCATCCACAGAATGCTGTAAGGTGTTCCTTAACTTGACATACTGTTGTATGAACAAAATAATCACATTATCTTTGAACATAATATCATGTTGTCATAACTTGATGAATCCTCACAAGTAAATAGTAGCTTTCATTTTTTCTTCCCCAAAAGTTGTTCTTGTGGTTCTCTAAGACCATTCACTAGAATGTAGACTTCCTAGAGTGTATTTTCCACAGAATTGCTCTAATTATATGAAATTACTTTATACAGAGCTCTGTAAAACCTGGTTTCCTAACTACCTGACAGTTTCTCTTGCCTTTACAGGACTTCATGCTAACTTGCCTACATAGTGACTTAAAAACAGTGCTCAGAGAGTTCTATCATATAATTTACTGAATAATATATAGTAGGCAAATAATCAATCATATTTTTTATTTTCATAATCTCCTTTAGCAAAGAACACTAAAGCATTTTACAGTGATCACATTTTTAATGTGCCTTTTTTATAATAATAATCCTGATTGAGGTTAATGTAGTTGGTTTTCAAAAATTATTTGTTATTATTTATTTTACCTATGATCATTTTACAAAATGCTACTTTATTAGTCAGCTTGGAGAGTCCAAATCACATTAACAAGCTGAACTGTAGGAACTGGACTTTCCTATCCTTTGAGCAGGCAATCTGAAAACAGAAAAGACCTTGTAATTGCTGTGCCATGCACTCTGAACTCAAGATTAGTCCAGACCTGAAGGGAAATATAAAGAGGACTGCAAGCTGAGATGATAATGAGAGAGGGCCAACTTTCTACTGAAAAATGGAGGGGAAGATCAATCTTTATGTGGGTGAAATACAGAGAAATACACACTTCCAAAATAATATTCTACAGGAACTGAAGACCCAAGCCTGAAGTCTAACAGCAGGATTCCAGGCAATTGGGTAAAAGACAAGCTTTATAGCCAACTGCTGACTGATGAGGCTGACTGAAGAAAGGAACTTTCACCAGTTTAATCTTTCATACTTTGTATTTTTTGTATCTCTTAGAAATAAGTAAAAAATTATCTTGAGTGTATGCTGTCAGATAGAAATACTTTTTATTATTTCTACCTCTGGTCTCTGAAGAGGATAAATAGCCAGCATGGAAAACTCCAAGCAAAACAGTGATTGTTTGACTTCTCCAAAATGACATGTACACCATCTAGGATTTCTAACATACTGCCAGTTCTCTCCTTCACTTTTTGTGTATCTTAGTGATTAGACACTGATCACAAAATAGAAGGTAGATATACACAGAAAAAAAAAGAAAAAACCAACTTTTCTATCAAGTATCAAACAAAGTAGTTTGGATAAGTTGGTTTTGCTTCATTGTAATTTTGCCTTTTTTAGAATTGAGCTTTTCAAAAGTACGATTGTAAAAGTTTTTATATTTCATATGTACAAAAGTCACACACATACACAGAAAGTTTGGAAAAGTTATCTATTTTCTGGTGGAAATGACAAGGGGTCCTGGAAAAATTTAGGTGGAGCTGTAGTTGATGGGGCATGAATGGGGAGTTCTCCAAACCCAACAGTGTTGGGTGGCTCTGGAAATAAAACAGGCTCCTGACTCACTGAGGATCTGACATGAAATTAGATTATTTTAAGGCAATCCTGTTTTAAAGAAAACACATTTTGTTTCTATCTTTTCTCACAAGGTTTCAGTTTCTCATTTGTGGGCAAAATGTAAACTGAAATCAGAAAATTCTGCTTCTTTTTACCATATTACTAAATCACCATTGGTAATTGCCTTGTTTTAATAAAACATGGATGATGGTTGATTTTTTTTTTTTACAGAGGACAATAGATTAAGGGTTCCTAAGGGTCCCTCAGAGGGTCTGTGGGGATGACGTGAGGAGATTCAGGTGGTGACCATGAAGGACCATGGCCATTTAAGAACATCTCAGCAGGACGATGGTGTGGCATTTGGAGTATTTGGAGTAATCAAGAAGATGGAAATGTGAAATGGGTTTCATTTTATGTAGAGATGAGATTGATTTGTGTTAGGTATACATTTATTTGTTTACTAGGGTTTTTTTTACAAATAATTACAGAGCATATTTCCAGTGCTTGGCACTGTGCTATGAGTAGAAATTACAGATTTGAATGATACAGTTCCTGCTCTTATCCACTTTATAGAATAATGGGACTAGGCTGGGGCAACAATAATTTCACTGGAGGGCAATAGGTATTATGGTAGAAGTAGCTGCAAAGTATAAGGGGGCACTAGACCTGAGATATTTAACAAATAATAAGAAGAAATAGATGTTGACAGAATTTGAGGTCAGGGAAGAATTGTACAAATTCTAAATTTGTCACAGGTTTCAGTAAGGTACATTTTATGTTCTTTCTATCCTTTTTCTGACAGAAATGCTTAGGCTCTGGTGCTTGGATCTAACCCAGAAGAAAGCAATCTTAAAAACTAGTAAGTTCTTAGTTCCTCAATGTTCTACAATTTTCACAAGTGTCTTCTTTCTACCAACCATACTTCAACCCAAACTATGTGTTTCTGTATATAGAATGTAGAAGCAAAAATGAGAGCCCAGGTACCTTTTACTACACCAGGCATTATAAAAACAAAACAAAACAAAACAGTGCGTTCTTACTATTTTTTTGTTTTTGAAAATAGTTATTTAAAAATATACATATCAAGTATGTTATCATGTAATAAATTTATTACTTTTAAACAAATTAACAAATATTTTGAGAGTCTCAGTTTATTTTTCTAATATGATAATTATCAATGATATAATCCACATAAACAAAAGTTCTTTGGGACAAAAATGTTTGAAAACCAATGGTGTTATCAAAACAGTAGAATTTTAATCCTTTTACCACCTACTAGGAATGCGGTTTTGGGCCAATTATTTAACATCCCAGAAAATCAATTTGCTCATCTGTAATATGGGGATTTGAAGTACTTTACAGCCTCATTGTAAGGATTAAGAAAAATATCTTTGTAAACTACTTAGATATTGCTTAATTACTTGCAAGAAGAATCCAGACCTAGGTAGCATGAACCTTCTGGACACAAATTTATTCTGTGATGAGAGAAGCATAATTCACCATACCATTTTTATGTTGTGAGTGGACAAATCTTTAAGGCAATTTCATTCTTTTTTCTCTCTATATTTGCTCATTCAGCAACCTTTTCAGGTAACAAATTCAGTTTCCTAGCTATTCAAGAAAAGAAGATATTTTAGATAATAGATATGAGCAGATAACTACTTTAAGTTAGTAACTGTCATTCTTTTTTTAAAGATTTTATTTATTTATTTTTAGACAGGAAGGGGAAGGAGGGAGTGAGAGAGAGAAACATTTTTGTGTGGTTGCCTCTCACACACCCACTACTGGGGACCTGGACCACAACCCAGCATGTCCCTTGACTGGGAATCGAACTGGTGACTCTTTGGTTTGCAGGTTGGTGGTCAATCCACTGTGCCACACCAGCCAGGGCTGTCATCCTTATTTATAAATTAATCTTTCACAAATTTGGGTGCCTTATAGTAATAATAAAGCCTGCAACTGATGTTTTCTTTAGCTGTGCAGAAGCTTTTTATTTTGATGAAGTTCAATTTGTCTACTCTTTCCTTTATGTCCCTTGCTATAAGGGACATATTGGTGAAAATATTGCTGTGTTTGATCTCCAAAATATGTAAAGAATTCACATGTCTCCACTCCAGGAAGATGAGCAATCCAATTAAAAAATGGGCAAAGGAACTGAACAGACACTTCTCCAAGTAAGACACACAGAGGGTCAAAACATGAAAGGATCCTCAGCATCGCTAGCCATCAGAGACAAGAGGGGAGAAGAGAGAGAATATCAGGAGACAAAGGGAAGGGTTTACAGGAACAAGTATAAAGGACACATGGACAAAAACAACGGGGGGGGGGGTTGGAAATGGGAGGGAGGTGGGGAGGGTTGTGGGGGTGGGCTGGGATGGGAGTAAAAGGCTCTAGAAAACTGTACTTGAACAACAATTAAAATAAAAAAAATTTAAAAAATCAGAGAAATGCAAATTAAAATCATGATGAGATACGACTTCACACCAGTTAGAATGACCATCATAAACAAATCAACAAACAATAAGTGCTGGCAAGGTTGTGGAGAAAAGGGAATCCTAGTGCACTGTTGGTGGGAATGCAGACTGATGCAGCCATTGTGGAAAACAGTATAGAATTACCTCAGAAAACTAAAAATGGAATTGCCTTTTGACCCAGCAATTCCACTGCTGGGATTAACCCTAAGAATCCTGAAACACTGATCCAAAAGACCCTATGAGCCCCAATGTTCATAGAAGCACAATTTACAATAGCCAAGCACTGAGATCAACCGAGGTGCCCATCAGTAAGTGAGTGGATAAAAAAATTGTAGTACATTAACACAATGGAATACTAGGCAGAAGAAAGAAAGGAGCTCCTATCCTTCACAACGACATGGATGGAACTGGAGAGCATTATGCTAAGTGAAATAAGCCAGGCAGTGAAAGACAAACAGCATATGATGTCACCTACAAGTGGAACCTAATCAACAAAGCAAACAAGCAAGCAAAATATAACCAGGACATTGAAATAAAGGATAAACTGACAGGAACCAGAGGGGTGAGGAAAGAGGGATAAACAGGGAAAGAGGGAAAGGGTCATCAAGGAACATGTATAAAGGACCCATGGACAAAGCCAAAGAGGAGAAGGATTATGGGTGAGAGCTGGGGATGTTTGGGGGGAGTGGTGGCAGGAAAATGGAGACAACTATACATGAACAACAATAAAAAAATAAAAATACATTAAAAATAAACAACAAACAAAAAACTTGCCACTAAACACATACTGTCTGGCAGGGCCTGTGCTAAGACTATGGAAGTAAGTCCATAAAGCATTTTTAGACTGAACAAATTATATTTAAGAGCTGAGAATTTAGACAAAAATGTAGTGACAAAAAAATGTTGTGACTTCTCCCAAACATTCCCCAGATATAGCCAGCATATGAACAAGGACCTTTCCCTCTAGGGTATTTCTACCTATTTTTCATTGCCAGTTATAGAAGCAAGATATTACTATTAATGTTTCAAAAATTATTTTATTCAGTTAACAGTTTTCTCTTAGTAATTGAATATATTCATAAATCAGAAACTGTTTTCTTAACATGTCTTAAAATATTTGCAAGCAAACACTACACTTACATGGTACTCTGTAGGAAAGTATTACTATCAGTTTAAAATATTTGTTCCTCAAAACAATGAATTAGAAATTGTGTACTATTTTACCATCTACTTGAGATCTCAATTTTTATTTTAGTTTAACAGGATTTTATGAAGCATCAACTCTCCCTTCATGTGCTGTGATTCATGTTTTGGGGGGAATAAATTTAAGTTGAAAATGCAGGTCAAGAATTTTGCCTTAGGATTTTTAATATAATCACCAGCTAATTCTGTTCTTCCCAAACAGTACACAATGTAGCAACATAGATTTTTAGTGTCAAAGAAATTTAAGCAATCAGTCCAATAAAACTTTAGGATGATTTCTTAATTGAATCAGTGTATTCAAGAGGTAGAAAATTTACTTTAAAAAGAAGAGTAAAATTTAAGCTTATTTTACATAAACCATTGATGTTTGTGTAGCTCACCTGGAATCTATTCCCTGCATTCCTATCCCACTGGAAATTGTAACATTTGTGCCTATCATCTAGCAGTCTGCATTTTTTATTTAACATTTTACATAATTTTAATTTCTATGTAGTATTTTAGTATAAATGAATGAACAATATATTATTTATCAATTCCCCTGTTCATGGACATGTGGGTTGTTCTGGGGATTACAAATAATGCGGCAATGCACACTTCTGTACACATCTCCTTTGCATATGTGCCAGAGTTTCTCTTCAGTATGTGTCTAGATTTAGAATGACTGGATTTTAAGACATATGAAGCTCTCTGTGGAGCATGTTTAACACCTCTCCTAAGTGTTGAGAGTTCCCATTCCTTTACATACATCTCAATATTTGATATTGTAGGTTAAAAAATTTCAGTATGATGTATGTGAATTGTTTCACTAAGGGATTCGTGATCATTGCTTTCCAGAACCCCAGGGCTCAGGTGAAGTTCAACATCATTGCAGATTAGTTTCAAGAATTAGGTCAGTATTGTGAATCATCTAGTCCTCAGCCAAAGTCAAGGGTAGTGAGAAAGAACAGAATGTCTGTGAGGAGGCACAGTGGGCTAGGGAACACACTCCATTCCCAATAGCTTCCTCCAGTAAGAGGCAAATGGTCCGGCTTTGTCATGGTCTGGCATGCAGTGGTGGGCTCTGTGTTAGAAGCTCTGAGTCTTTCCCTTTGTCCTCAGTCTGTGGCAGAGAATAGGAGGGCATGTTGCCCTATCTGGTACAGGATGAATACAGAATGCAGGCAGCAATATGTAGGCACATTCCAGATTCCAGTTGGTCTCCTCAGCATGAGCTCTTTCTGTGAGCAACTGCATGAATGATACAAACAGTTTAATTGATAACCACAATCTGCTTCCACAGTTCACAGTCCAAGAAGCCATGTCTGTAATCTGTAAGTCCAAGAGTCTGAACAGAGCAAACATATCTACTTTCCATTTGATAGACATGGAAAACTACAGCATTCACTGTGGGGATTCAGCTTAGCTATAAACATCAGTATACCAAGTTCAGTCAATTAGAAGACCCTCTGTGAATTTAGGACCACATGGAGTCAGTGATTTTGCTTCACACAGTGAAGTGTGAGATGAAACCTCCCCAGCGGATAAAGTTATCATTTATGCAAAGCTGAAATCCTCCTGGGGCAAGCATTCGTAACTATATCACCTCCAATTGTCAAGCCAGGCTTTTTGAGCCCTTTTCACCTGATATTCGTAAATGCCTCCTCTCAAATGGGCATGTCAAGCTAGAGAGCTAGAAGATCTCTCTGGGGTAGCACTCAATTTCCACAGGCACTCAGTAGAGCCCATAGGTGTTTTATGAAAAGGAGTGAATACAGTGGCCAGGTCAGAATCTCAAGTTCAAAACTCCGAAAGGGTTCCCTCAGCTGAAAGCTGCCTGTGCTTTTGCAGGCATCTCCCCTTTTCCAGATGCCCTGGTAAGCAACAGTCCCCATAAGTTACAGAAACTCATTCTGTCTCCAATATCCATGACAGGTCCTCTGTCTCTTCTTAGGCAAAATTGACTATGAGATTTGGACAAAACCCTAATTAGTTAATCTTTACTTAAACCCTCTAGATATCTTTTACTCCCCTGAACAACAACAAAAAATTACTTAAGTCTGTATTTTTGAAAATAACTAAAGAGTTTGTACTTTAAAATTTAATGTACACTTACATTCACTTTCATTTGTCTTGCTCTTTCTGAGAATGACCACATATGATTATATATGCATTCTTATTATTTAGCACTTTCAAGTAATTAAATGGTCCTCTGTATTTTACTAACTACTGACATATACACCCAAAATTTAAACACTAGTTAAGAAACCAAAACCCAAGAAGGGCAGTCCTGGTATTCTTAATTTTTTTTGTCACTTCATGATTTTCTGTTGCTCCCATCATTCTTAATTCAAAAACTGAAGCTCCTGTCTCAACAAAAGGCATATGTGCTACTTTTGACACAGAGAGGCAATTTGAGAGATGAATCAGTTGAAGTTCTAACACATCTTTATGTTTTATGATGACAATACAATCAAAACAGACTGTTTCTAATAGGGAATGTATACTTGGTAATTGTCAAATATTGTGTGTGAATGAAATTGAGTGAAATAAAAATTGATACAGTAAAATTGGCTATGGCCTTTATCATCATCATCATCATCATCATCATCATTATCATCATCATCATTATTTACTATCACCATCATTTTGGCACTCCAGTACAACACCCAGAGTAGACTGAGGACCCTGAGACTTGGTGGTAAGGGAAACTCAGTCAGCTATGACATCAGATCCAAAACTAGATTTTCCTATCACAATATTGCATTTCTAGCATTTTGGGACGTTTTGTCTTTACATTTTCATCTTAACACTTTCTTTTAGGAACTGGTTTCTGCTAACATCATAGGTACAGAAAGTTGAGGAATCACATATGGACAAAATATGACTGATACCAAGGGCTTTGACATGCACAGAAAACTGAGAAGGGTAAGCAAATTTTCAAGAAAATCTCTCATGAGGCATCTGGGAGCATTTGCCAGCTGCTGAGCATGGGCATAATTGTGTGCAATGACCACATCTAATTGCCTCCCAGCAACAACCGAAGCTCCACGAATGGATACCCACTGTGTGGCTGAGCACTGAGATTCTGCCAAGGATAATGAGTCCACTTAATCTCATTGGAGAGGAGACTGGTAATTATGAACAATTTCCCCTGACATTTAGCCACAAAATGATGTTCAAATATTTAAGAATGTTGTTACCCATTACATAGTTTTTTATCATGAAAATGTACTAGAACAACCTGACCAAGAATTATCAATAAACTTGCAGAAAAAATATAATAATGTTTTCCTTGTATATGGCAATCAAAAAAGGGGAAACTTAAGGTCAGCAATATGATTTAACTTAGTTGAAATTCTTTGTATGAAAAACTTTAAAATTCTCTTTTCTGTTTATTATATTTTCTAATTTATAAGAAAGTAATCATGATATGAATACAATGACTTAATTTAGTGCTTTGTTGAGTATTAGTCATCAAAGCTTTATTTGAAATGTGATAATATACTTGGAGGAAAACATCTGTTAGAATTTTCTATGAATAAATGTATAAGTATAATAACCTTTATTTTAATTCAATTAATATTATTTCACATGACAAAACCATTCAGGCCAACAGTTTAAATTATATCAGAGATAATTAAAAATGCAGGGTTTCCAGATAATAATTAATGAACTAAGTCAATTCTAAATTATTTTCTCACTTTTAAAGATTCTAGTAATTTGGTCATACATGAGGCATGAGTGACCACAATTATGAAGGTGACAAGTCAAATCACCTGAGCATAAGGGAGGCTTATTATTTCTGGCAGCAACTGAGCCATCTATGTGTAAATTTCAGATTCCAATCTATTTCATAGTGGAAGCTGAGTATCCTGAAGATATAGTCATCAAAAAGCATCTTTTCTTGGAATAGCAAATAAGATTGTTTTCTTAGTTTCTCTTTCTTATAGTTCATTATTGGTGTATTGCAGCAAAACAACCAAAAAATAAGGTACCTAGGAACAATTTTGACCAGGGAGGTAAAAGACCTGTACTCAGAAAACTATAAGACATTAAAGAAAGAGCTATAAGAAGACCCAAACAAATAGAAGCATTTATCATGTTCATGGATTAGAAGAATTAGCATCATTAAAATGGCCATACTACCCAAAGAAATCTATAGACTATACACAATTCCTATTAAAACACCAGTGACATATTTCATAGATCTAATACAAATATTCCAAAAATTTATATGGAACAAAAAAGACCTCAGATAGCCTCAGCAATCTTGAAAAAGAAGAACAAAGTTGGAGGGAACACAATACCTCATATAAAACTATGCTAGAAGGCCACTGTAATCAAAAAAGCTTAGTACTGGCATAAGAATGGGCATATAGATCAATGTAACAGAACAGAGAACCCAGAAATCAACCCACATCTTTATGATATATTAGTATTTGAGAGGGAGTCAAGAGAATGCAATGGAGTAAAGACAGTCTCTTCAATAAATGGTGTTGGAAAATTGGACTGGTACATGCAAAAAAAATTGAAACTATACCATCAACTTATACCATACACAAAGATAAACTCAAACTAGATAAAAGACTTAAATGTAAATCATGAAACCATAAAATTCCTGAAAAAAATCACAAGTAGTAAAATCTCAGACATCTCTCATAGCAACATCTTTGCCAATACATCTCCTAGGGCAAGGAAAATAAAATAAATAAATAAATAAATAGACGGGACTGCGCTAAATGAAAAAGCTTCTGCACTGCAAAAGAAACCATCAACAAAATGATAATGGAAACCAGTATGGGAGAACATATTTACCAATAATATATCTGATAAGGAGTTAATTTTCAAAATATATAAAGAACTTATACAACTTAACACCAGGAAGACAAACAATCCAATTAAAAATGGGCAAAACACCTGAATAGATACCTCTTCAAAGAGGACATACAGGGGGCCCATAAACATATGAATAAATGGTCAATGTCACTAATCATCAGAGAGATGCAAATTAAAACCATAATAAAATATTACCACACACCTGTCAGAATGGCTATCATCAGTAAATTAACAAACAACTAGCATTGGTGATGATGTGGAGAAGGGGAACCCTCAAGCACTGCTGGGGGGTTTGCAGACTGATGCAGCCACCATGGAAAACAGTAGGAATTACCTCAAAAATTAAAAATAGAACTGCCATTTTACCCAACCATCCTATTTCTGGGAACATATCCCAAGAATTCCAAAACACTAATCAGAAAAAATATATGCACCTTTATGTTCATAGTAGAAATATTTATAACAGCTCAGGTCTGGGAACAGCCCAAGTGTCTCTCAGCAGTTGAATGAATAACAAAGCTCTGGTATATTTACACAATAGAATACTATGTGACTGCAAAAGAAAAAAGGAACTGTTGCCTTTTGTGACAGTATGGATAGACCAGGAGAATATTATGCTAACAGAAATAAGCCAGTCAGAGAAAGACAAATACCATATGATCTCACTCATATGTGGAATCTAATAAAATAAACTGATGAACAAAATAAAACTAGATGCATGGATACATGGAACAGAGTGACATTTCTCAGATGGGAGGGTGGGGAAAGGACTGTAATAAATTAGTCAAAGAACATATATGCATATATGCAAAGCCCATGGACACAGACAACAATGTGGTGAAGGTTGAGGTGAGGGTCGGGGCTTGGTGGAAGTGGAGAAAGGTGGGGAAATGTGGGACATCTGTAATAGTGTCAACAAAAAATATTTTAAAAAAGAAAGCAACTTTTCTTGAGCTACCAAAATTAATTTGAATAAAAATGTTAGCAGGTTAAATCTGTGTATATTGCATGTTGTCTGTCCTGATATTTCATAAGTTTGCACTGACACAAAGCATTTGACTCTGTGGCCTATGCTGTCATAAAGGTTTTTACCATGCCAATGGGTTTATAATAACACCTCAATATCTAAATTTCCACGTAATGGTATATTTTTAGAAGAGGGTAAAATGGAATATGGTCCCCTGAACCCACTTTATACAGTGCCACAATTATCACTCAGATGCTGAGAAAACCTTATGTAATTAGAAGAAACTATTACCTTACTGCCTAAGAACCATCAAGATGTCATATATTTAAAATGATAATTACTGGTTGGTGAGTTAGATAATTTATATCTTTTTTATTGATTTTAGTTTAGATTTGTGTAAACAGGACTGACTAGGTGTCTTAATGCCATGAGGAAAGATATGAAGCATGGAGATAAAACTACCCTTCTCTTACCATTGTTATTCAAAAAGTTATATTTTATGTCATTTTATTCAAGAAGCCTTCTTTTCTGTGCATTTCCCATTGTTATAGAACTTATTCCATATGTTGTTTTCTTCAGTAGATAACAGCTTTCTGAAATCAGGGGCTATAAGATATTTGTAATAAAGACACTGTGGAATGGTACAGTGTTACCTCTAATTTAAATATGCTTGCTCAAAGTCATCTAGAGACTACATGTGTTAAAAAATTATGTAGAATCCCAGCCTCTAACCTTCTATGTAAGACAATATGGGAATTGTGATACAATAGAAGATATATATTTGGAATTATATCACCAAGATATTAGAGACCCCAAAGCATCTACCAAAACACTGTTAGAACTAATAAATAAATTCAGTAAAGTTGCAGGATACAAAAATTAACATAAAAAATAAGTTGCATTTCTATACATTAACAATGAACTAACTATAAAAAAACCCATCTCATTTATAACATAAAAAAATAAAAGAGTAAATTTAAACAAGAGAGTGAAAGATTTATATAACAGAAACTATAAGACACTGATGAAAGATATTAAATAATATACAAATAAATTGAAAGATATCTGTGTTCATGGATCAGAAGAATTGATATTATTAAATTTTCTTTACTACCCAAAGGAACCCATAGATTCAATGTAATCCCTGTAAAAATTCTGAAGGTTTTTTTCACAGAAATAAAAAGAACAATCACAAAATTTGTATGGAACCACAAAAGATCCCTGAAAGCCATAAGAATCCTGAGAAAGAACAAAGCTAGAGGCATTTCTGATGTCCAAAGCTATAAAACTAATCTATAGTAATTAAAACAGTATGGTATTGGCATAAAAACATAATATTGGCATAAAAAATAATTGGGTTTTCTCTTCTCTGGTAAAGGCCAGAGAAGAGAAAACCCAGAAATAAACTCAAGCATTTATGGTCAACTAATATTTGACAAGGGAGCTAAGACTATTTAATAGGGAAAAGACCGTATCTTCAATAAATGTTGTAAAACTGCTATTCATGTGCAAAAGAGTGAAATCAGACCTTTATCTTACCCCACTCACAAAAAATAACTTAAAATGGATTATGAATAATCTATAAACATAAGACCTGAAATTGTCAAGCTTCTAAAATAAAACATAAAGACAAATATCCTTAACATCAGTTTTGGCAATATTATTTTTTGCTAGAACAATAAAAACACAAATGACTAAAAAAAATAAACATTTTTTTGTTTTTGTTAACAATTTTGTAGTGGGACTATATCAAACTAAAAAGTTTTTGAACAACAAAAGACAACTACAGAATACAAAAAGGCCGACTACAGAATACAAAAAAAATTGCAAACCATATGTTTGATAAGGGGTTAATATCCAAATATAAGCAATACACGCAACTCAATAGCAAATAAACAACCTAAGTTAAAAATGGGCAGAGCACCTGAACAGACATTTTCCCAAAGAAAACCTAAAAAATGGCCAACAGGTTCATGAAAATGTGCTTAATATAACTAATCATCAGGGAAATTCAAATTTAAACCACAATGAGATATCGCCTCAAACTTGTTAGAATGGCTATTATTGGAAGGAAGGAAGGAAGGAAGGGAGGAAGGGAGGAAGGAAGGAAGGAGGTAAGGAAGGAAGGAGGGAAGGAAGGAAGGAAGGAAGGAAGGTAGGAAGGAAGGAAGGAGAGAAAGAAAAGAAAAGAAAAAAGAAAAGAAAAGAAAAAAAAAGAAATGCTGGTAAGGATGTAGAGAAAAGGAAACCCTGGTGGGATAAATAAATGAAGAAAATGTGAGATATATACATAAAAAATTATTTGTAGGACAAACTTTAAAATTCTTTTTTCTGTTCATTA